CTCTATTAAATTAGGTCCACTAACCTCAAATTCCCATTGACCAAAAAAAATTCTAAAATTCCCAAGTTCAACTTCCAATTGACATTTTCAGTCGGAGTTCCACTTCTACTATTAAAATATACAACTATATATATATATATATATATATATATATATATATATATATATATATATATTCACTTTTTTATACTTATTTTTTATCATCTTATTTTTATTTTTTTTTCTTCTATCATCTATCATATATATATTATCTCTTTCTTTTTTATTTTTACCTCTTCTTTCGCCCATTTAATATCCAAAAACTTATGTTAAAAAATCATATTTTCAATTAACTTTGATTTATAAATATTTTAAAAGTATTAACAACCATTTGACACCACTTATCTATTTTTTTCTTTTCATATCACACCATTTTTATCACATTTCATCGTTTCACTTTCTTCTATTCTTTTTTTCATATATATATTTATATTAATACCTTTTCTTCTTACATTTATTTTTCATTAGCTCAATTTATATTATTTTTTCAACTTTTTCATTATATTATTCATCACATTCTTTATTTATTTGTTCTTCCTATCCTCTGTTACCTCCACCCAATTGATACTCCATACAGGAGATATTAAAGAATCATTTTCTCAATAATTCTTATTTGTACACACCCTAAGAGTATTAATAACTAAATTTTTTATTTCTATATTTTTATCAGATTTATCGCTTCTTTTTCTTTTCTTATTTCTCCCAAGGTATGTAAATATTTTTTTTCTTTTTCTTTTTTTTCCTTTTCCTAAAGCATACGCCATGCATGTCCTCAAATATGGGTCAAATCATAACATTTCATAGTTTCATATCCTTGAAGATATCTTGGGTATGAACCTCCTTCAGCATCTAATGAAAAAGGAGAAATGTGACTGGTCTTAGTATGGTTTGATGATGAAAAGGAGAATAAAGATGCACGTAAGATGCAAGTGCTTCCCTTGCTTTACATCAATCCCACCACCTTGCCACTGGCTAGTACGAAGCTCAATATTGAAATACTCATTAGACCGTACAAGACAAGAAGAATGAAGATCATGATGGTGCATTTATGAAGATTGGCGACACTCCCATGTGGGGGGAAGTGGAAGATAGGCAAATGCACGTATAGTAAGGGTCGACCCTTAGTAGTGATTTGTGAGTGTATTTTAGTGCCTGAGGGACTCAGCCTTCAATGTGGACCGTTGTTTTGCCATCTTCCCTTTTATTTTGTCACCATTTGGAATTGATGCCATTGGGGGCCCCTTCCCATTATTAACCTTACTTACCCACTTTAATTAATTAACCATACCAACGTCTATCACTCTTTTTAGGATTTTGTTTCATAAAGTATCTTATTTTTCATAGCTATCTTGTGTGCTTGGCACCCCCCCATTTGCATCTATTACCAATTCGCCCCATATATATATGGGGCTTATCCTGTACTTAAATATCTCATCTTGTGCATCTTCTTAACCTCTTTATCCAGAACTAAAATAAATGATAAATAAATAAAACTCCTTATCCAAAACTTGTTTTCATGTCCCTTTACTGATGACTCATTTAGTGTATATCCTATGGCACCATTTCTTATCCAAAACATTTATAAACCTTATTGCGTGTCGTTAACAAATGATTTTGAAGGGCACAAACAAAAGGATGAATTTGTAAAGGGATTAAAGAAAAGGTTGATTTGATTATCATCATATCATTTTTCATTTATTCATGTGATTCTTTTATTACTCGAGCAACTTAACACGTGAAATTTCAGGAATTTTTCTTGAACAGGTTTGGATTATTACTATAGCAAAGAAAGAAATTAAGAAAAAAAAATATCAAAAATTTTCCCTTCCCTCATAAAAAAAATTAAAAAATGATATTTGAAATAGATGTACTGTAACAATATATATAATAGTACGAGAAATCCCAAATATTGATCTAAATCTGATGCAGTAAACAATGTTATCGTTGGTCACTCTTTATTAGCGTACCTTTTTGGATTTCCAAATTTAGACACGAAATTGTTCTTGTCTATTCAATTCGCCCAAATGGGTTCTATTCTCCCACTGCCATTGCATTTCCCTTTTCCTATTCTATGGCTTTATAGTACAACAACAAATCTGAGCTATTTTATGTAAGGTGGGATCAAAGAAGAACAAAGAAGCCTCACCCAGTTTGGGTCCGACAAGATAAAAAGATAAGGTCACATTAGGTGTGGTCTTCCTCTAACTCCCTTGGTAGGTCCTTCCCAAAATGTGTATCCAAACTATAAGTCCAAAAGGAGCCAATAAATCCAAATCCCACAAAAGAAAAGTCAAGAATGGACTCACGTCATCATTTTGAAAATCCATACAAAAGATAATAGACTTTTGTTAAGGGATGAGGTTAAACACTTAAAATAATAAGATTTTATTAAAAATATATATATTATCAAAGCCACATTCCATTTCTTGTATATGAAAATTAATTTTATAAACTTTAATTTTAAAATATGTGAATCAAATATGGAAGTGTTGTCCTAGAATTTAATTAGCAGTTGTAAATATAACTTACATACCTACCTTTATATGTTAAGCATGACTTCTCATTTTTAAAGAAAAGCATTTTCAAAAATTATACTGAGTGTTTTTAAGAACTATATTTTTTCTTCTTATATCAGTACAGTTTACAAAAGAACTTACTAATAAATACAATTTATAACTTTAAAATGGAACTATCTTACAGTTAAAAATTATGAATATAAGTGTATAAAACTTTCGATTTGAAGGCTTCCCTTTTAGCATCAACGCAAGGAAATTGCCTATTTGCAATAAGAGGCAAAAGTAAAGCAACAAAACTCAAAGCAACTTTTCACTACAAGAGCTTCAAATTTTCAGCATCAACACAGGAAATTGCCTACTTACAACAAAAAGGCAAAAGCAGGGCAACCAAATGCCAAAGCAACTTTTCACTATAAGAGTTTCAAATAATACCAATAATATCTATATATTTGGATATAAAATATTCAGATTTTTTTTTTCACAACTTCAATATAAAATAAGGTATACATTCCTTTTCAATTAAAATATATTACTTTTATGTATTTAAACTCAACCTTAAAAGTTTAAGCTCACAAAACTCATAATATTTTTATCTCTTACTTTTTTTTTTCTGTATATCTTTTTCTCTATCATATTATATATATATATATATATATTAATACTTTTAAATTTATTTTTATTTTCTTCTCTTTTAGACATCTCTTTTAGACATCTCTTTTTTCCACCTCATACTCTCCAAATATATAAGCTTGTAACAATTTTCTTCAAATAAAAACATGTATATTACATGAAATCGCTTTCTCAAATGTATAAAAAGTCACAATATCACACTCAGATTGGTTATCAGAAAAGGATGTTTAAAAAATTTATTGAAACTCAAAAGTATTTTATAACTTTTTGGTATAATTTAAATTTACTTTTAAAACGTAAAAATTATTAATTTAATTTTTTAAATTTTATTCTGTGAAGTTTTACGTTCAATCTTATGAATATTTTTTTATTTAATAATAAAAAATTTAAATGAGTGTTTAGTTAAACTATATACCTCAATGTGTTTTAATTTTTTTTAATAATTTTTATTTATTGGATAAAAAAATAATTTTAGAGAAAAAAACAGCAAAAAAGGACTCGGCATATTGCCACTTTTTGAACCATGCTTGGTTGGATTATGATGGGTGAGAAGGCCTAGTGTATGGAACAGAGTAAGAATTGGGAAAATAAGGTGCGTTTATTGTTATTTTTAAATATTTATTTTTATTTTATTTAAGTAATTATTTATTTTAATTATTTTTTATATAACTTTATTATTACTACAAATATTTCATATATAAAAATTTAAATAGAAGTTACAATAAATACTTTCTAATACTTATTATAAATTTATACTAATGTGAATAATAAAATAATAATTGATGGTTGTAAATAAACTTATAAAATATATTTTTAATTTTTTTACAGTCCGTAATAGAATAATTATAACAACATTATATAATGATGAAATGTTTGCATTATTAATTTACTAAAATATTTTTAATATGTATTTAAAGATACGTAATAAAAATGATAGATAAATTTTTATTAAAAATTATAATATTTAATATATCAATGTATTAATCTTTCTAAGATCTTGTGGTTTTTAATAAAAAAATATGATATATTTTTTATTATATGATTTTAGATATATTAAAAAGGTATATAATAAAAAATATAATTACTGAAGTATCTAAAATTGACAGTTTTTTATTTAAAAAATTATTAAATTAAAAATATAAAAAAGTAAATAATTTTATGAATATATTTTTTTTAAAAGAATATAGCGAAATACTTAACTCATAATCTTTTACGGCGTTATTAATCTTAATCTTAATCTTAATCTTAATCTTTAGAGATATATTTTCTTATTTAATAAAAGTTCACTACTTTTAATTGTTTATTCTTACCTCTAAAAGTTAAAATTAATATTTTTTTATAAATTTATTATTAATTTTTATTCTTATTTTTAAAAGAGGATGTTAATATTTTTCATAATTTTCTTATTAATTTTTAATATACATTCAAAAAAATGTTAAAAGTATTAAATATATTTATTAAATATTTTAAATTACTGTAAAAAGTAGGTATTAAATTTCTTTTATTATTTGGAAACAATAAATTAATTTTAAATAAAATTTATATTTTAAATTTTTTAAAATGTATTATTAAATCGATTTATTATAATTAAGAATTTTTTTTTTTTGGGTTTGAACGTTTAAACACGGTTTCAAAACCAAACATCCCCTAAAAAACATTGGACAAAAAGGTAGGGTTGTAATTATCCACTAAGCACAGTAAAAGATTGGGATTTTGCTTATAGGCCCCACGCCGTGGACCCCACCTGTCCACGTGGCAGTAATCTGCTTAACCTCTTGACAGTGTAAATGATCAAACAGAAAGAGACTCTCCCCTGTTCTATGTTCCAGTGAGTAAGTATGAGTTTACATTGAGAGAATAGGAAAGAAAATCACAAAATTTATATTGAAGTCTGAAACTTTTCACCTCAAAACTTTACTCTTATGCCTTATAAATAAATGGATGTTGAGAAAGGTTTCATCTGAAAACATTTTCTATTTCTTTTTAGCCACCACCTTTTCACGTGTCTCTCTCTTCGCTTGTTCTGTTCTGTTCTGCTAGCTCTGTTTGTTTCCTAGGAAAAGGAAAAACCTCAATTAGGTTTCTTTATTTCTTTTATTCGCTTCTTCTCATTTTAAGATTGTTCTTAGGCGGTGGTTGGTGTTTCTTTGTGGGGATTGTCTTTACATAAAAATTTCACTTTGTTTGAAGGGTTGAAGCTGAGATTCTTTAGTGGAAAAAATGGAAGGAAGGAAACTAACGGGTTCTTCTGCTTTCCCTTCTGAACTCTTTGAGTCCAAAGGGTCACACCCATCTTCTGCTTCTGGAATTTTTGAATCTATATTTTCTCCTCAGCCTAAGGTGTGATATTTGTTCGTTTTTTATTTTTGATACTTCAATTCAATCCAATCCAATCTGTTTGTATTTCGGTTCATTTCATGGTTGACATGAAGGTTTTTGCTATGTATTGTATTGGGTTTTTTCTTCTGCTTAGAGTCTCAACGAATTGCTTTTAGTCATTGCAAGGTGGAATCAATTCAGGTTTTCAGTGAGTTTAATTGATGGAAAAAACAACCAAATAATGAGCATGTTGATCGTTTTGTAGTTTCATCATCATAATTCATGATCATCATCATTGCAAACGGTCTCATGTTGAAACTGCCCTGAGTTTGTTCTTGCTTGTGATAATTCAGGTGCTAGGGAGAGAATCTCTGCGCTCTGACGTGAGTGGGAAAACTACCAGTGAGGGTTGGAGTTCCAAAGTTGGTCTTCAAGGTTGGTATACTGTGGTTTACATATTCTTACAAATTTTGTTAAGTTTCTAGAATTTTTTGGCAATGCTTTAAAATTTAATAATAAAAAAATCACATAAAAGCACATTTCCTATTGGCTCTACTTTCATTGTTTTGAATTTTCCTATTTCATACCTCAGTTGTATGCATATTGCAGCCCTAGAGTGTCCTTAATCCAATTCACGAAGTTACTACACATTTAAGGGTCCTAACGACCAGCTATTACTTTATATTGAAAATTCTTATAAATAATTTGTTTCAAGTAAAACCTTGTTAAGATTATTGCATGTAAGGATGAAATAAATTATAAATATGTGATAGATTATTCAATAATTCAATTCTTTAATGGCTTCAGATTAATTTAACATTGCTTTTCAATAGATTATATCAGCAAGGGAAGTGATGTTGAATCTAACAGCGCGGCACATAAGGATATGAGTTCTATGTATCAGGAACAAAGAGTTCAACCATGTCATCTTAGTTCATCAATCTATTATGGTGGCCAGGACATTTATTCTCGTCCTCAGAATACACAAGATTCGGGATTGAACTCTTTGGTGATTAAATTTGTATTATTAATTATTCTGTGTACTTAAGTTATTTCAATAGCGTAACCAAAAGATCAGAGTAGCTGATTGTGTTTGACAACACCGTTTAGGGGGATGATTTATACTATAATCCTTGCTGACACAAATAAAATGAATATTTTTTTAATGGAAGGTGAGCTACTTAATAGAAATCTGCAGACCAAATAAATTTTAAGCTAGATGATCATTTTAAACTGAGCCCTATATAGAATTCAAGGCAGATTGAAATATACCCAAGAATAATTAGTTATTATTTGGATTTATTGTATTTTATTTGGTTTTTTTTTTATACAATTAGAAAGCCCTAACATGAATTTTCATTGAGCAGTACAAGAAAGATGGGGTTGAAGATGATTCAGGAAGTGCTTCTAGAGGAAACTGGTGGCAAGGTAAAACACGTACCTACCTGTCTTATAGATTGCAGTGTAGATTTTGCATATGGTTGCTTCTGGTCTGTCATAAATTTCTCATTCATTTTCTGTCTTGTAACTGTCTATCCACAGAATCTCTCTATTATTAAGATCGTACTTGCCAAGGGACATACTCCTCAAGGTATATATGAGTTTCTGATAGCATTTGCCAAATGGTACTCTAGCTCTTAGAAATAGTATATTTTGAAGCCTTGGAAAATAAACAAAAGGATTATGATTGAAATTAACTATGGCGAATCAGAAATTCGAAGAACAATCAGGGAATTCCAAGCAGGTAGAAAATAAGGAGACAATCACTTCCATAGGCAGTCTACCCTCTTACGCAATTGCATTAAAATAATCGTAAGGATTAAGGAAATCCAACAGAATGAGAAAGATTATAGGACCTTTTCCTTTTTTAATATATACATGTAATTATAAATACATATGACTTTGTTTCTAGAATGCTAATCATATTTCCTGTTTTCCATGTTTATATTTTGATTATATAAAATTTATCAGCTGCATGCATATCTGCAGGTAAATAGGACGATAGTGTAGCAGTATAGTCCATCTTTTATTACATGGAAGAGTTATACTATAGTGAGAACGTTGTGGATGGCTAGTTGCTTTCTCCAGCCAAACAACAGAATCACAATATGAACCTTTAGTCATACGCATTTCTTTCTATTTTGCTGTAAAGAGTATGTACTCAGCAGTAGTAATGTAAAAGTTGTATGGTATAAGGAACTTCATGTATCATCAGCTACTCTTACGTGGCTGAATCTTAGCTTTTACTTTAAAGGGAGAAACTCTCTTTTACTAGTTTCCCCCATGCCTTGTTTTCAGTTGTGATGACTTATGAATGTGTATGTACCATCAGCCATCTCTTAGGTGACTGAACTGCAATAATTTACTTTATGAGTGAAATTCTCTGTGCTGCTTACACTTCTATTTCTTCTTTTCCTTTTTTATTTAATTTTATGTTCCATTTCTGATCAAGAAACTTGGCATGGATTATCATTTTGAGAAATGTTAGCCATACAATTTTTAATATATTTTATATAATTGGTTTATTTTTAAAAAAAGTCAAGATACAGGCTTTGTAAATTGAAAAGTTTTGAAATGTTACTTTGACTTTTAAAAAAATAGACCATTGAAAATTGTGTTTAAAAGAATGTTATTAGCATTACTTGTATGGTCCTTACTGGCAATATCTTTTGGTAAGCTTATTGAATCATGATTTTTTTTACATAATTTTTTTACACCCTTCTTTTATACTTCTTGTAAACTGCCACATTACATGATAGATGAAGAGAGAGAAAGAGGAAATGCGATTCTTTCCAAAGGAGAGTGCAAAGAGCAATGTGAAACAAATTTTTTTCAAACTTTCGTACTTGATCACAAATAGGCCAAACCTGCCCACTGATCCAAGAACTTTGTCATCTATAAATTTTTTCTATCACATTATTATTATGAAAGAACCCGGTACGCAATATATGGTATGGTGAATTCGTACATGGTATGCATGGTCAATAACAAAACTTAGTAACAATGCTTTGTAGGTTCTTCAGCTTCTTGCCAATGCTGTAGATTCTGAAGTCATTGTTGCTGCACATTGATGGGTAGACGTTGCAATACTGGGAATAATGAAAGATTCCTGAAGAGAGTCGAAATCATAGGTTCATGAACCATCGTTGTACTCCATGAAAGCCAAGAATTTGCCACGCAAGGCTATAAGTTAAAACATCCTTCAAAGATAGGGTGTGGTCCACCTAGGAAGCATATTTATGAGGTAACATGTAGCAACAGTTAGTTAACGAACATGTCCACTCAATAATTCTGATCCTAGTTCCAAAATTTTCCAGACTGAGTCAGTTTATGTGTTCCAAAACATGACTCGTCTATCCTTATCCATCAATGGTGGGACAAGGCCTCTAGCGGTCGTTGTGTCTGTTCGTTTAGAACATTTTTTTGTTTGTTTTTCTTTCCTGGTTCAATGTTCTTATGACTAAGATATTAGATACCATATTACTACTACTGCATGCCTGTTTGTTTGGCGATGAAGATGAGATAAAAATTGATATGATATGAAAGTAGTATAAGAACAAGGTATCATAGGAGTAAAATATGCTTTTATCTTATTTTACAATTGATACATATCAAAATAATAAATTATAGACATTATGTTACCATATTTTGTTTAGTTCTAAAACGTTGGTTAAACAAATACTAAAAATATAGGCTAGAAAATTTATTCTATCATCTTTTCTTATTATATTCATTAACTCTTAAATTAGAATAGGAAAAGATTTTCTTCCACTAAGTCTAAAAACTTTTATACTCAATTTGAATTTTTTATATAACTTAAATTTAATGATCAGTAAAGTAATAAATTATAAACAGTTAGATTTAAGTTAAATAAAAAATTTAGATTGAGTGTAAGAGTTTTTAGACTTACACTAGTATAAGAAAATCTTACCCTAAATAGAATAATTTTAAATCTTTCTACTTTTCATGCCTGCAAATTTTCTTAATTACTAAATGAAGAAATTATTAAAAATTTTCATGTTTTTATGATAATAAATGCATATATTTTTTTCACTTAAGATTTATTTTGTAAAGTAGTTGAAATATGTAGTAAAACTCTTCAAAACATTGTACGACTAAAAAGTACATCATACTGAAGGAAAGTAGAATTTCAAAAAATAAACTCGTTTAGAGAAATTTAATTGTGTATACAACATTACTTGATGATGCAAAAAAAAAAATCATATTAGTATGAAAACTATAATTTTAAGTTATTTTAGTCTTAAAACATGGGAAATTTAAAAATAGCATACTAACAAATATTTTTAAGAATTAAAAAGATATTTTTATCATTTTAGAAAAATTTGTAAGTAGATGACAGCTTTAGTCTTATTGAGCAGGATGCTTATGACATTACAGGGAGATCAACAAGAGGACCAACTTAAAAGATTATTGTACAAAATTAAAAAGCAAGTAAATGATAATTATTGTAGCAAACTTTTGCCGTAGGTGACTGTGATTGAAAGATAATATGAAAACAACAGTTAGAAAGTTTCAGTAGGCACATGAAACACTGAAAGTACATGTTTTATTAAGGGGGGACACTAGTTAGCTGCTAGCTCTTATTCACAAGAAACTAGAAAATTACAACACCATACAACAAGCATGTAGTCACAGTATCTTAGTAGCTAACAGCCATAGTGCATTTAATCCCATCTTCGTTGTTTTCAGCAACTTTAACTCCTTTAAGGCAGAGTGTAAGCTGCACCCAAAAAAAAAAAAAACCATTTTGTACGAGGATTAGCATATTGCTAGACAAGAAAAAGTGACAAATAAAAGAAGAGGAATATTACCAAACCTGTTTTAATATACTTTTTATTATTTGATGAAATCATATACTTTTTATTTAATATACATGAGATTTTATTAATAATTCAACTGTTCTAAAATAAGAAAAGAGTGCACTTTAAAATATGTAATTATAATTGTTAACTGAAAAATAGAATTAATAATTTCATGATTAACTGTACACGTGTATGTATTTTGACAGAAGTTCAACAATTAATTTTTTTATTTCTTTAAGTAAAGTTCATTGCTTTAGAAATGATAAATCTTTCATGAAATAATAGAGTTTTATTTTAGGTAAAAGATTACAAGTATCTTGCGTAAAAACTAAACCAATACATCTTCTAGTATGATACGATCAATTATTATCTCTCAATGTAAAGTTTATTTTCAGGTTATATTTTCACACATCCTTTTTTACATTTATTTTTTTTCTTTTTATTTTCTTTTTATCACGTCATCAATCGCGCCTGTTACTTTTTTTTGTTATTATCTTCCCTTTTCTTTCACTCACTTTACACACCAAAAAATAAATTGATAAATGTCAACTTGTAATTTTTCAAAGATTAAACTCTAAGGAGAAATTCAACGTGTAAGCATCACCCTTTAGTTGAAGTATCAAATCTTATATTTTTGCACTCTCTTTCTTTAATATCCATTATTTTTAGTTATTTTTCTTTTTATCTCTTTCATATTTTCTTGTTACATCATCTATCATCTTTTATTTTTATTTTTTTTCTCTCTCTTTATTTTTTATTTTCTTCCTATTCATGTAGCAATTTAAAAAAGTAATGTGTAGCTAGTAATAATTTCTGAAAATAGAAGAGTACTAAACTTACGTCCACACTTGTAACCAACAGGACGGTTAGCCAGGTTGCAACGCTTGGGGATGGTTATGGCAATTTGAGGGTTGACTCCAGCCATTTTGGCAGTGTTAGATAGCAAAACTGCACAGAGGCAACTTGGGTTCTGGCCAAGTTTCTTAACCTGAGCACAGCAATTTTGAGAAACACTAGCATTTTCATCTTGTGCTGCTGTGGCACAAGGAGCAAGCTTTATAGCTTCATTGTCTGGGGTAGTAGACCTGCCACATTCACCAGCACCCTCCACTCTATAAACCCCTACAATGCTAACAAGCACCACAACCCCAACAAGACATAGAAACTTAATAGGACCCTCCATTAATTAAATCTCTCTCTCTCTCTAGATCTGTATGAGTGAAACTGCTTCTCTATTTCACAATGCAAAGTCCCATGCCCCTGATGGGATTTTATAGCCTAACATGATCCAAAAAGTGCTTGGTCCAGTCACCACCCCTTAGATTAATGGAGCTTGCACTAAGACAAAGGGTGAGTTTTCTTATTGCACCACTTTGAAACAAAAAGCAAGTGTAAACACAATTTGGTTCCTTCTTTTTCCAATCAGGGTAGGTGTGTCTTTGTTAAGACAATATTTTTTTGTTTTTCTTACTTCCAGATGTAACCATTTCTTCCAGTTTGCAAATCAAGTGAGCAATTTAGTGCTGCCACCTCATCCTTAATCAATTGTAACGCCAATAGCCTTTTTAAAAGCTTGTGAATAAGTGATCAATTTCAACTACCACCGCCTTCAATATACTAGCTAATGCTCACACTCTACTCCTTCATGCCCCTAGCTTGACGTACATCTATTTACATAACAAATCAAAATACACACTTCCCCCAGCTATTGCTTAAAAGTATTATTAAATATATTCAAACTATCACCTTTAATGTAATGTAATTGATATTCACTGAGACTATACACAAATATTTGATTTAAATGATGGTTTTTAGTTATGATTTGTAACCACAATTTTGATCATAATATTGCGGTTTGGTAGTTCTTTGCAACTACAACCGTAATTGTCGTGAATGTATTCGTGAGTTCAAAATTATTATTTGAATAATTTAATAGCGTCAACAATATTTTTATCTTTCTTTTTTTTCTTTAGAAGTGAAAGTAATATTTAGAAAAACAGTTTTTTTGCTCAATGAAATATTCTCTTTGAAAAGCGATGCTGGGAACACTTGATTTGGTATCAGATAGTTAATGCTTCGGATCCAAACCTGGGCATTTGGTCTAGTGGTATGATTCTCGCTTAGGGTGCGAGAGGTCCCGAGTTCAATTCTCGGAATGCCCCAAAAGTTTTGTTGATTGTTTTAATAAACCATTTCATGCTATCACCATGATTCCCACCCTCCGCGGTGGCATTTGAGGAAGTTTCTTATAAAATTTCTAATCTAAAAAGACAATTCAACTTCTTTATTTTTTGTATGCTTCATAACGGTTTAAGGAAGTAGAGTGAGTGGGAATGGACATAGAATACCTCTCTTAGAGGCACCTCATTACTACCACAAGTAAATAACATAATACACTAACCATTCTAAATATGAGAGAGAATCCTTCTACGTATTTCATATACATAGGAACATGAGAAGACTCCAAAAAGAAAAGAAAAAAGAAAAATGCCTCGGCCACAAAAGATTCACATCCTTTCACACTTGCCACGCATGATCCAAGATATTTGGACTGACACCACCTTCTGTGCAATCACTGGATTCCACATCTGTTTCAAATGCTGGCACTTCATCAAGTGTTTTAGATTCTTGAACTTGTTTCTCAATAGGACTCTCATATTCCTTCCCTTTAGTATCAATGCTAAGAAAATCAGTCAAGGCTTTCTTCACCCCTGCCCCTCTTTGGGGAAGGTTGTTGTTATTGATGACTGGGGATTTCCCTCCTTTTGTAGGGCTAATCCCGTGTGCTGGAGAAAGGCTTGGCGTGCCGAAAGCTGATTTGTAAGGGGTGCTTGGGACATGCACTGAGCTAGGAACTGTAATGCTCTTGTGAGTAATTACACCAACTTTTGGGAGGGATGAGAATTGACCAGAATGTTTGGTCAAGTCATCTACATAGAGCACGTCATCAATCCGCGATACCATGTTAAATGCCAAACTCTCTAGTACTCGAGAGTAGCTCTCCAGAATGGCTTTTCCAACATCCTAGACAATACACAACATTTGAAAGACTAAGATAAGATCAAAAACCTTAATGTTCAAGAAACGAGACATTGTTTGAAGATAATGCAATCCAAACCTTGTTGTATTGGATTTTGCTCATATCAAGGGCTGTTTGAGGGAGACCCGGAAAACGCTGCTTCAAGGAAAGCAGAAGGCTTTCTGCTCTCTCTGCAAGCAATTCCCTTTTGTCAGCATCAACCATTAGATCCTTGACCATTTCCCATGATGATCTTGAACTAGATCTGGCACTGACACTAACAGGCTTTGAGTTGGTCTTTTTACGCCAAATATACATGGAAGCTTCTGCCCGATTCGCAATCTCTATGGCTTGATGTTCAGATGATAAATCAAGGCAAGCAAGCAAGCACTCAGGAGAAAAGTGATCTGATGTGATATAACGATAAATAACATCACCCAAGCTGACTCTAGCATTCTGCAGCATAGTTGAATTCGTAATTTGAGTTAACCATTATGTCATTTTCTCTCATGATGTGTGAAGATTTGAATAAATAGGGATTATTTGTGTCATACCTTTGGAAGAGATTCCAAATAAGACTCAGGAATGTCCATTTCAGCTAACGTAATACTGTTAATGGCCATTGCAGCTTTTAATATTTGGTTTGTGCAATCACGCTTGTGCTGCAACTGCTTCCTTGAGTTTTCATGGAGGCCACAAGGAGGGACTCGGGGCACAGGAAGCCACCATTTCTCCTCTTGTCGCTGCAGTGCTTGCCGGAAAGAAGATGGACCATCAGTATCTGGAGCTAGAACCCCTTGGTCTACATACCAGAACTCTGTATTGACAAAACTATCCAGAATTTCCTGTGAAAAGACCAAAATTTAGATTGGCCCACTTCTTAAAACTGGACTAATGATGAACACTACTCAATGCTGTAAATCTTACAAGAAGCATGTTATCTAATTTGCGCAGAGCTGGAAGATTAACATAAAGATCTGAACGGGGTCGACAAGTCATGACCTGATTCACATTACAACAATATTGTAAAACTTAAACCAAACAAACCATCCATCCCACAGTCTAATTTGATCCCAACCAAAAAAAGAAACAGAAAGCATGGAGAAGAAATCAGATTTTTTCTCTCACATCACAATAAACCCCTTCACTTTGAATGCTGGCATGAAATTCATAGTCAAATATAGGATCTAAATTTAAAACACCCCAGTGATCTGGTTATAGCAGATGACCAATCAAGTAAATTTCTGTAATGCAGTCCATTTATTTGAGACTGATAGAAATGATGTAATGTATATGGATAATGAAATAAACCAAGATTGCAAATGGCAGATCTTGAGGATCTGTGTTGTTGTGTCAAATTTACTGACACCACTAACCTACAGGATGCATTCAACAAATTTCAAGCACATGCAATTCTACTTACAAGACTCTCTTAAAATTTATCAAGAGAAGTAACTTACTCAACCAATTCACCCCATTGTTGTACTTCAGCTTCAATTTATATCCCACACTGAGTCATTTTAAATTGTAACTACTAGCATAAATTACCACAATAGCTTTCACATTAATTTTCAGTCCTTGATACGTACAGTGACCAGAATTCAATCATGCATAAAACCATTTGGGAAAGAAATGAGGAAACAATTTTCTGCAAGTCTTGCCTTTCAAAAGCCAACTAAGAGTTATTGTCAAGGTTGACAGGGAAAAATAAGCACAACTTCATAAACAAAAAGTACATAAAAACAGCTACACAAGTTCACATTAGAATTATGTACACAGTGGTACCTCAAGCTTGCTTCCATCCGGAAAGGTTTGCCAATTAGGTCTCAATTCAACAATATGATCACTGACAGAAAGAAACCACTCTATTTCTCTTCTCCACATTGCCTTCTTCTCTGAACGCAGGGGCTCTAATCTCCAAAGTTGTCCAAAAAGGGTTGCTACATATTCAGTAAAGGAATGAGAAATAACCATTGGAGGCAAAAATTGCAATCAATAAAGTTCACAACAGAAAACTTGCACAATTAACAAGAAAATATAAGTACATAGTAACTATTTCAAGTGTGCATTTTGCATACCACATAGATTGGTTATAGCATTTGAGATAGCCAAAGCTGTAGGGACCCCATTTCCACATCCTGACATATCTTCTCCAAGTAACAATTTTGCAAACCTCTCCTTCATCATCTCAATCTCTACAAGCAAGAATCAAAATAAAATAAAATGCTGATATTATCAGTGAGAACAATTGATAATATAAGTTATAAAGGGGCTTATGTGCATCATACACACATTGAATACCTGATAATGCTGAATCTTGTTTCTCAAGTTCATTATTCTCCAAGACCAAGTGCTTTTTCTCACCGTCTTCACTTCCATGAGTACTGGCACAATCTGATATAGCTATTTCCTGAACCGGCCATCCCACAGAAGGTGGTGAAGATGAGTCCTCAGTGCTACTACTCCTACTATGTTCTTCATGACCAGTGGTCTCAGATGATAGAAACTCAGAGCTGGAACTGCTCTCACGACCTTTTTCTTCAATCAAATCACCAAAAGTTTCTCTTTTACCAACATTCTCACTTACCTTAATAGTTTCTTCAACAACTTCATTCTTCTCAGGCAAACTCAAACCCTCCATGGCAGCAACTTTCCCTTCTCCAAGGAAACCAGACGAAGCATAGAGAAGAGAGTTGTTAATCACCATGCCATGGTACTGAATCCTTCTCAAGCAACACCCTTTTGAGAGATGAACACTGAAACACAAACTTCTAAGAGATTTAGACGCCCAGAAGAGGAGAATGGAAAATGGGTTAGGATTAGTGGACCTTCTAAGCCTCACCAATGGGGCACATTGCTTCAGATGCTGATGCTGTTGTTGGGTTTGTTCTCTTACTTCTTGTTGGGTTGAAGTACTATCCATATGTTGTTAAACCATGTCTCGTGTCTGGTAGAGAGAGAGAGAGACAGTGATAGAACAAATTGTGGGCTACCTCTGATTGCTTACTTATATGTCAAGGGTGAAGCTAGACATCATTGCTCTAGTTTTGTTCTAAGCACATAATATATGAGACAAAAACCCATGTTCACCTCATTTCCTAGATTTTGTTTGGAATGTACAAAAGTGGAAGTAATTTAATTTACAGAATAAACTCATGTTGGGAATAGTTTTTTCTAAATTGTTTCTTAATTTTTATAATTATCTTATAAAATTTTTAAAAATGATTTTTAACGCAAAGTTAATATATACAAAAGTTTTCTTCTCAAATCTTAATAAATGAAAAAAAAAGTTCATACTTTTTAAGTATTTAACCAATGCCCTATATGCAAACCTAAAATTTATAACATGTTTGATACAATTTAAACTTTAAAAATTAATTATTTATATTTTAAAAACTATTTCAATAAATTAATAAAAATAAGTATAAGTAAATAAGCTTTTAATTTTATCATCAAACATGATCAATTAGTAAAAATTGTTTCAGCTTAATTTATAATTTTAAATTTGAATTTCAATAAATATAACTAAGTTTTGTTGTTGCCAGCAGGCGTATGTACCAATTTTGGTCCATGAAAATCTTTCCCTCACTCTTCAATTCCCGGTTTAAACTTGAGACTGTGTATGATTCGGATTTGAAATTATTCAAATTATTTTCTGGTAGTCTTTTGTTACGGATAAAAAGGAGAATAATGTGAAACAAGTTTAAAATGATTGAATTACTGATTGGCTAAATCGTAATATAATTTAATGTAAGGACTAATTGTTAATCACAAATTTTAGTTTACTCATCAACATTTGCTACGCTTTTGCTTAAAGTAAGTATCCAAAATCAAAAGGATATTAATTAAAGTCAATGTTCTTTAAAAATAGTACTAAAGAAATGTCATGGGAAATCGTGTAAGCGACGGATATGGCCATGATGTCTACCAAATTTGTGCTTCATTGTGTTATAACTCATTAACTCTTTAACTAAAACATTAATTATTCCAAAAAGAAAATTAAAGCATCAATTATTTTAGATCTAGTTAACTAATCACATTCATTTTAAAATTTATATATAAGAAAAATATTAGTAATATATTTTTTAATTTACTTATTTTAACATACTTTTTATTATTGATTAAAATTATTAAAATTACAAAAATTATATAAATTTATTCTTTTTCATTTCTAATTTAATGTTAGTCTATCATACTTTTATAATTTTTAATATATTTTAATTAATAATTAAAAATGGTAAAAAGAGTGTGTTATTAGCATTTTTTTTCTATAATATTTTTTTATTTATTTTATCTATTCACTTATGAAAAAATTATATTTATATTTATATTTATTTAAAACTTGAAGATAATATTAATAATTTTATTTTTACTCAATTTTAAAATATTTTACACTCTTATTGTAAATAAAAAATAAAAAAATTATAAAAAATTTAATAATATTTGTTTTGCTATTAAAAGTTAATAATAATTTGATATTAAAAATATATATTAATCACATTTTTTATATTTTATGTTCTATCTTCCTTAGAAATGAATAAAAAATAATTTTGTTAATAGTTAAGTTTCCGCACCCAAATATAATAAGTTTTTATTAAAAAAAATCATTTATTTAAAAGCATAATAAATACTTTTTTAATAAAATTACTAACCTAGTATAATAAATAATTTTTTGATCAACATATCATGTACAATAAATATTATATTTAGTCTTAAACTCTACTCTAACAGTTGAGTTTAACATTTTTTTTATTATTTTGAAACTCTTCCACTAATTTATCACATTAATTTTTTAAAATTTGCTTTGTGTAATTTACTTTGTTTAGTTTTTTATTAAATTTTTATTTATTTTACATATGTGTTTTTCGAATTTTTATGTTTTTAAATTTTCAGTTTTTTTATTGTTTTCTAAACTTTAAATAAATAGCAATTGAAATCACATTCATTTCTAATAAATTAAAAAAAAGCATTTCATGAATTATTATATTCAATTATTTATAAATTATTTTATCTTTAAATTTTCAAATTTCTCTTGGAATATTTTCATGTTATTAAAAATTTATAATTAGTAAATAAAATAAATTTTGAAGATTGAAAATAGAAAAGGAAAAAGAAACGCGGGCATATATATATATATATATATATATATATATATATATATAAGATTAAAATGAAGTAATAAATTAAGAAAACTACGTGACATAAAAGAAAAAAATAAATAAAAAATAATTTGCTTCGTGCGTCGGGCAAAAACAATAGTGACTAATTACTATTGCAGATTAGGGATTGGTCTTTAATTGGCAATGCCTACGCTCCAATATGTTCATCACTCAACAACCTGCGTCAATAAATCATGCCTTTGGATCTTGAAAAGGCTATTCAGTGAATTGGGAATATGCTAAGAAAAATTGGATTCTCGTCAATCACAGTTACAAATAAAAGATGAACAATTTGAAGTTGGTTGCCTCTTAGATGGCAGTGTTAAATGGTGGCATAAGATAGGCAAGTTTGTGTCTCCAAGTGCCTCACATGACACACGGAATCCTATGAATTAGAAAAGGGTTTTGGCTCTTATTATTAACGGTTTTTTTAATATATGTTTAAAGGCACGTAATAAAAATTATAGTTTTTATTAAAGAAATTATAATCTTTAGTATTATTAGTATGATAAATTTTATGATATTCTGTAATCTTTAATAATAATAATAATAAAGTATCCATAATATTTACAGATATATTAAAAAATCCATATTGTTGGTAACTATGCTTAGGGCTTCAGCGGTGTGGGGTATTTTGGTAATTTCAGGATATAGCCATACTATTATTTTGTATTTTCCTTCCTTTACCTTTCATATGCTTTGCGTAGGATTGAGGTGCTTGTCTTTTTGTGTCATTAACGTTGCGGCAAAAATGTATGTGAAATTGACATAATTGAGAAAAGAAAAACGCTGTATGGCCAATATTTTGTGCTTCTAAAGAATATAATAAGAAAAAACAATCAAATCACACAACGCACGTAAGGGCACAGACAGAATTAAGAAAAAACACTAATAAATCCAAGTGAAAAGGACATTAGTTTTTCTAAGAGAAAAAAAACACTTATAAGTTGCAGCTGAGATCTGATCAAATCAAAACAACACAAATCATAATAGTATTTTTCAATACATTATTTTCTTACTTACCTTGCAAGGCTTTTCCTAGTCTCAAAACTAGCATAATTTTGTGATATACTCATGATGATGGTTGTTCCAACAGATTTTGCAAAGGGAAAAAGAAAGAGATCCCACCAACGGCTAACAACTACGTTGATGTGGACTTTACATTTGAAAACATTGAGAGGGAACGAGAAAACTTAAGCCTCAAGAATTTTGAGTTAGCATTAAAAGCAAAACTTGCCTTATTACTTTCTTGCTTTTCCCTTTTGTTGATTTTTGTTCTTTAATTTACAGTTCTCAAAGTCATATATGTTGTTTAGCGTATTCCTTCTCTTTAATTTGAACCCGCTCCAATTCAAGTTTTGAATTCAGGGTAAAAAAAGAGTGTGTTCATTCCTTGCCTATTATGCCCAAGATTTTGCTTTTAGTTCTATTAAATGTTCATGTGGTAAGGGCATAGACACAACGGCGTGAAAAGCATGAACAATTAAAGACGAATAGTCTTTTGAAATTTGAATATGAAAGTTAAAGTAGTAATATATGGTGCTCTCAAAATCTTCTCATAAAATCTGAATTTTATCTTCCCCGTTGCACGTACCAGTTCCCTGAAAAACTAAACATTTAAATCTGAATCTGAATTTTGTAGTAGATATTTGGGTGTAAAGGTTACTACCGTCACAATTTTGCCGCAAACTCATTCCTTGACCCAATTCAATATGTGGGTTTGTTAATGATTAAAGTTTGATCATTCATGTTATGATCAAGACTTAAAAGATTCACCAAAATGATAACCTAATCTTAAGAAATTGATGATTATATAAATTTAGACTGAATTCGCACTTCTTGATTTTCAACAAAAAACTATTTAATATTTGTTTTTGACATCTTCTGATTTATATAACTGTAGAAAAAATTATAAATAATTTAAATAATTAAGAAGAATATACGATATTATGTTATTACATAAATTTTAAAAAAAATTGTGAGGTAAAAAAATATTAAGTGAAAATTTATTAAATTTCGATAAATGTAAATATAATTTATGCCAATATCCACAGCCCCGCGTTCCACATGGGGATCAGTAAGTAAATAAAAATAGTAATAACAAATAAAGAAGAATCAAAACTAATGAATAAAAAAATAAAGAACCATAAAAGGCAATTGATACTGGATTTTTCAGTGTTTAGTCATTGAGCCCAAAAGGCCCAACTATGCTCAGGTCCATTAGACTGTATAGGGTGGGCAAGCCCAGGGTTACTGATCTTAAGCTTCTTGTTGACCAAAAACACAAAATCTTAACAGTCCTGTAAGGCATGGGTTACCCATCTTAAGGTTCTTGTAAAATATAAAAATAGACTCCAAGTAACCGTTGTTTAAAATAAAAAGACTACAAGTAGCAATTTTAAGTTCTATTTAAGTCCTATAATTAAATGTATATAATCTCAGTTGTAAATATTAAAATTGTAGTTAAACTTGTGTGAACAAAGTAACACATGTCTCCCGAGAATTTCAGATCTCTGACGTAAAATGCTAACTTTTCTTTAGAATTTGTTTCGCAAAAATCAATGGAAAAAGAAAAGAAGACGAGAGCAATTTTTTTAGTGTAGCGTGTAATGGTTAGTGTAGCATTGAAATTCTATGCAATTGAAAAAATAACTTCATAGAATCTCATTATTTTTTCTTCTTATACATATAGTTAATAGTTATTAAAACATAAAGTAAAAAATATGGAATCCTTTGACAATGACTGCAATATTCCGCAGTTACTTTTTGACACATTATTTAATATATTTTTATTATTAATTAAAATTTATAAAAATTATCTAAGTTTT